TCAAACAACTCGGGAGTCCCGCAAGGCAGTAACCTAGGACCGCTACTATTTTCGATCTTTTTAAACGATGTCGCCTTGCTGATACCATTTGGATGCCGCGTTTTCCATGCAGACGATACGAAAATCTACAAAATTATTAAAAGCCTCTCGGACTGCTGGGATCTCCAGAATATGTTAGGTATTTTTGCTGACTGGTGCTCAAGAAATTTGATGAGTCTAAGCATAGAAAAATGTAACATTATTTCATATCACCGAAAAATCATGTTTGACTATGTTCTCTACGGACGCTGTCTTGCTCGTGTAGAGCACATAAAGGATCTCGGCGTTACCTTGGACTGCAGACTCACTTTCAGAATCCACTACAATGACATCATCTCCAGAGCTAATCGACAATTGGGCTTTATTTTCAAAATTGCCGACGAGTTTCGTGACCCGCTATGTCTCAGGTCACTTTACTGCTCGCTTGTGCGATCCTTATTGGAGTCAAGTTCAGTTGTTTGGTGCCCTTTCCATGCTAGCTGGATCACTAGAATTGAATCCGTTCAACGCAAGTTTGTGAGATATGCTCTTCGTTTCCTCAACTGGCGTGACCCAACGAACTTGCCACCGTACGAGGAGCGTTGCCGTCTCCTGGGAATCGAGCCATTAGAGGTGAGACGGACGGTCGCTCAAGCTATGTTCGCTGGAAAGCTGCTTACAGGTGACATTGACTGCCCAACACTGCTGTCACAACTAAATATGTATGCCCCTGAGAGGTCTCTTCGTCAACGCGACTTTCTGTTTTTGGAACCGCGGAGCCGGAATTATACACAACACGAGCCAATTCGAGCAATCAGCCGGCAATTCAACAACTTTTTTTATATGTTCGACTTCAATGTATCAGCTGACGTGTTTCGTCATCGGCTACTTGGCCTTTTCCGTACCGTTGACCGTAACTATTTAGTTTAAGTTTTATTCATTTAGACAGTATTTGTCAGTTGAATTTTTCAATAAACAATAGCGAATCAAAACAAACATAGTGTAGTAATAGAATTTCAACTAGAATAGGGTACGTTAATCGTTTGCTTGGGACCAATAGGCTACTAAAGTGGTGAGCCAATTTAAAATCGTTAGTTTCGTATTGATTGTTGGTACATCGATGAACGTATCCTATTCTAGTCGAAATTCTAGTACTACCAACCGGTGGAAACTAACGATTTTAAATTGGCTCACTACTTGATTAGCCTATTGGTCCCAAGCAAATGATTAACTTAACCCATTCTAGTCGAAATTCTATTACTACACAATGTTTTGTTTTGATTCGCTATGAAAGTTTGACAGATAAAATTAGGGGTGCGTGGATTTTCCTATGTTTCGAGGGGTGCGTGGATTTTCTTATGTTTCGAGGGGTGCGTCGATTAGCTTGGGACCGAAGAGAGTACCAGAGCTGAGCCAAAAAGTTGAGCACGTTTCTTCTGGACGTTCACAAGCACAGCCTACTCTCTGACCTTCTACCAGCGATTTTAAGAAAGTGAAATGATAAATTCCTGATTTATAGCTTTGCTTAGCATAAATAAGACACTATTTTCTCGAGATTCAAAATATTATCCCACCGCAAAGTTCGAAACGTAATTCTAAACTGCCTGAATGATGTGATCTATCAATCATATAGTCGAGCAGTGTTTGGACGTTGTTCTACCCACAAACGAAGTGACAGACGACTAACTGGCGAAGAAATCCATTTAAATAATGTGGTTCACTGTAATAGAATTTTCTTGGAAGCTTGTGCCATCATCCACCAGATGGGTTAGTTTTTTTGTTTTGATTTGAACAAAGTTGATTTTGTGTACAATGATTCTTTGACAGTGTGCAAAGAGTGCGTATCATTTTGTCTTTTTTTTATGCATTTCAGTTTTGAGTAGAGTGAAAGAGATAGAACCAAAACATTCTAGTACGTTTGGTGAAAATGCTAGTTCAATTCAGTAGTAGTGTTGCCATGTGGTACAATCCAGTATTAGTGGTGTTGCCATGTGGTACACTGAAAAATTGAAATAGCAGGTTAGTCACCAAAGTTTTCGAGCCGCTCCGTCTGTCACTTCGTTTGTGGTTCTACCAGTGATTTTAAGAAAATGGGGCACACAATTTCGGATTTGTTATGCCTGTTATTGTTATTGCTCAGTTCACACCCTGACAGGCTACTGCCTACCGATCTGCACTTAAGCCAGGCATGAACCTACGGAAATTTAGTCGTGGCCTATGCTAGACCGTATAGCATAACGACTTTCCTTTCACTAGCAGGCTTTTAGGTCCCACTAGCGTCCGATTAGGGGATAGTAAGAGATTAAAAGAATAAAGAAGAGAGATAGAGGATGTTGTTGTTTTGCTGAAAAAAAAACACGTTGGCTTGTTGTGCAACATCAAGTTTGTTCGCTTTCATTCCGTTCCAAGGGACAACGTCCATCGTCGTCGTACTAAAATACCTGGGAACATCCAGAGGTGCACAGGGCCAACGTGAAAGACTTCCATTCTGGGCAGCTGCTTGACCTGGGCCCAAGTCAAATTCCTATCGGCTTGCTTAATTTACTTGTTGACGCTCCGCCGCCTTAGTATTTGCCTTTGCTGCGATGTTCTGGCGGATTTAATTCATAATCAAACGCTTGCCTGCAGACTTCGTTTCTATTGCTATCGGCTTCTGATGACATTTACATCTGAGATCCATTTGTGAGGCCACCAGCCACAAGATATATACCGCAGGCAGCGGTTGATGAGACCTGCAGCTTTTGGGTGTTCTCCATTGGTGCTGCACAGATTCCACGTTTTAATCGAAGTTTAGAATTTTGGTACGTTCACCAATCTGATGTCCGCTTTTGTGTAAATGTCATATTATCACCGACCTTATTACCATCACCTTGGTGTGTGACATCAGGTGTACGCTCCTCTGTGTTTTCGTTACCAATGCAGTTAATTTGACACGTTTGTTGCATTCCCGTATGTCTCAATATTATTCTTGCTAAAGCACCGTCAAACCCACTATCCAGAGGCAGCGAGCCACCTTAACACCTGAAATTATACAAAAAAAATCAAACATTAGCACCAACCCCCCCTTCCTCGATTGCAACAGCTCCAAGCCATGCAACAGGATCATTTCGTGCCCCATGACAACTTGAGTCAGTTGCATCCAGGTTCATTGTTTTGGCGCCAGCCGGGAGAGACTTGGTCCTGTACCAAATGCTTTCCTTGTCTCCATTCCGCTCAGCTACTCGCAATTGATTGTGATATAGTGGGCGGAATATTACAATGTGAGACAATTCAATGCAGACGTCTTCCAAATTTGGCCGATCGTCAGGTAATCAGTGGGTTACCACCTGGCACCTCTTAGCAAGCACCACAGAGAACAGACGTTCAAGCTCGGTCAGAAACTTGTGTAAAATAAGTGGGAATGTCGCCGTTACGTGGTGTTAGCATCTCCTGATTTTCTCAATAAATTTTCCACTTTCAACCAATTTGGCGCTAGTATCGATAAATTTTCTGTTGAAAATTGCCACTTGGCGCTACTAGCACTTAGTGTCTAGTGTAATTTGTGCAACGCCAGCGCCATCATGTTTTCAAAGAGGGTTTTTAAGTGGGGAAGTCGCCGTTAGTGGCGCTTAAGTCGAATAGGAATCTTTAGTTTTTAGAGAAATTTTGTTCGAGCCTCCATGTCTGTTCTCTGTGCAAGCACTATGCTACGAAGCGGACCGGAAGTTTCATTGAACAACCTCCCCCATTTCGGATTTGTTATGCCTGTCATAAATAAAAAACTCTTTTCTCAAAGTTCTAGCAGAAACAATCTCATGCATTGGGAAAATATTCAAGAGTGCAGCCTCTTCTAAAAACCACATGATTGTGGCAAAAATCCTCGCGAGTGTATATAGGACGCTTTGCTTGAAGCGATGCAGCGCCTACAGTTCGTTTCACAAGCACAAGCAACGCTGTACTGAAGCAGTTGCTAAGAAGACAGCTAAGGACGATGAAACGATCGATGAGAGCAATCCCCCTTATTCTGCGAGTCACGTGACTCTCTCTCACCGGTGAGGTGACAATAGTCACCTCGTGTGAGGTGACTCTCCATGCAAATCAAATGGAGAGTCACCTCACACGAGGTGACTATTGTCACCTCACCGGTGAGAGAGAGTCACGTGACTCGCAGAATAGGGGGGAATATGTCGCTGAATATGGATCTCTAAAAGGAAAGAAATATTCACCGGAAGCAGATTAACACCTATAAGAACGAGAATTACAGCAATAAATTATGACAGGTTGGTTCAACATGGAATTTGTTGTACAATAGCATATGTTCGAATGAAATTTCGTGAACTTTGAGATTTACGAGTCGCTGTCATTCCCCCCTATTCTGCGAGTCACGTGACTCTCTCTCACCGGTGAGGTGACAATAGTCACCTCGTGTGAGATGACTCTCCATTTGATTTACATGGAGAGTCACCTCACACGAGGTGACAATTGTCACCTCACACGAGGTGACAATTGTCACCTCACCGGTGAGAGAGAGTCACGTGACTCGCAGAATAGGGGGGATTGTCATGTTTCTAAGGAAGCCCGACACATTCCCCCCTATTCTGCGAGTCACGTGACTCTCTGTCACCGGTGAGGTGACAATAGTCACCTCGTGTGAGGTGACTCTCCATTTGATTTGCACGGAGAGTCACCTCACACGAGGTGACAATTGTCACCTCACCGGTGAGAGAGAGTCACGTAACTCGCAGAATAAGGGGGATTCGCATTATTGCAGGGCCCCCTTATTCTGCGAGTCACGTGACTCTCTATCACCGGTAGGGTGACAATTGTCACTTCGTGTGAGGTGACTCTATATGCAAATCAAATGGAGAGTCACCTCACACGAGGTGACTATTGTCACCTCACCAGTGAGAGAGAGTCACGTGACTCGCAGAATAGGGGGGGGGGGGGGGGGGGGGTTTCTTTCCAACAGATAGTCAAAACTCAAATCAATAATTGGACTGCACGGTATTATTCGATAGCAAATGCTCGGAAGTTTAGATGGCTGTAAGCTACACTTACCGCTTATGAGGTCTGCGTGGCATCGACACTTGTTGCCAGGCAGCGCTTCTTGTGCTTGGAAAAGGTTCCATCGTCACTGAACCGCTTCAAGCAATTCGGGCACTCGAAGGGCTTTTCACCAGTGTGCGTCCTGTAACCAAATGGGAACAATAGTTGAATGAAATAAGAACAAAACACGAATCGCGCTTCTCGTACCTTCGATGAATCGTCAATTGATCTTTTCGATGGAAACTTTTGTCACAAAAATCACACGAGAATTGTTTGCCTTTGGTGTGTGTGGCCATGTGTTTACGTAATGCTGATTGAGTGGTGTAGGTTTTCGTAAAGCATATCGGACAGTTTAACTGTCGCTTTTCGTGGACACTCTCTGTGTGAATTTTGAGCGCTGACATGGACCGGAATTTGTTACCACACTCCTTGCAAACACATTTGTCCGTGTGCAAGGCCTTATGCGAATACAGGCTTTGTTTATTGATAAATTTTCGGGGGCATTGCGAGCATTGGAAGTATGGGTATGACTCGTCAGCGTGAGAAATCGATATATGCTGCTGCAGATCAGAGGTGTTCCAGTTAATTTCATCGCAAAGCTTGCATTTAAGCTGAACCTGTTGAGATTTGGTTTTGGGCCTCGCCTTTTTTAGATGAACGTACCGCTTGTGGTAGTATAAGGTCTCATACGAGTTGAACTCCTGATTGCATTCGACACAAATGTGAGGATTTTTACCCTCGTGAACTTTCTGCACATGATTTTTGAGATCGAATAGACGCCGGAAGGGGGCACCACAGTTGCTGCAAACGTAAGGCTTTTCGTTCGTGTGTACCAGCATATGTCGGAAGAGCGTTGCTTGTGTTGTGAAGGTGTTGCCGCAAATTTTACACGTAGGCTTGTTGGATGCATGTTTCTGTCGCACGTGATACCTTAACTTGCGCATGTACATAAACGATTCTCCACAAGTTTCGCAGACGACTGGTTTAGTTTTTTCATCGAACGTTGTAATAATATGGTTCGTGCTGTGCTGTGTATTTTCGTGTATCATCTTCGCTCTCTTTATTTTGAAACGTATCGGACAGATGCTACATTTATAAGGCCTTTCGGTTTGGTCATGACGAGACAGATGGTAGTTGTATGCTGACAAAATGGGAAAATCACGCGAGCATTCCTCACAACGAATGGCTCCCTTATTAGCATGCTGTTCGGTTAGATGAGTGGCTAGGTCGTTTGCGCTTTCAAGAAGCACCGGACAGATGTAACATTTCCTCACGATAATCTCTTTGAGCGTTAATTCAGACTGTTTCGCGTCATCACTAAAAGAAATTGAAATATGCATGATTTAATACACACCTACAACGAACGGGACATGATACTGCAACATACTAAGAAGTAGAATTCGATTTGTGTTTCGATACATCACCAACTAGAGATTTTGGAGGAGTCCATTCATCGCTGCTATCTTCTTCAACGATACCACCATCCGATTCTGAGTTGGATTCATCTCGGTCTTCCTGCATGACCACCTCCACCGGCAGCGGCGGCAACTCTATCGACCTGCGGATGTCTTTTGCATTGTCCCGAATAATGCTAATCAGGTTGTGAAACTTGATCTCCGCGTCCATGAAATCCTTCTGAATCGATGTCAGCAGTTCCAATCGAGCAAGACACTTAATGCAGATCAGTTCCAGGGAATCGTTTGATTGAAAGTCAAAGCGTAGCAATTCGTAAACGGCGAATTTAATGTCTTTTCCTGATAGCTTACCATTCTTGGAAACCATATCGCAAATTGGGTAGAACCGTAGGCACAACCTACAGCTATCGATTTCCACTTTTTCTGTCTTGCTGAAATGCCCCCAGAATTTACAACTTGCTGTCTTACATTATATAGCCTACATACCAGTTGAAGAAGATCTTCGGTTCTTGATACACCACACCGTCCGGTTTTGCGAAATGCCAGTGGCATATTTCCTTCTGACTCAAATGGCAATCTTCAGCCGCTTTGACTCCACATCCTACCTGGATCGCATCGAACCAACGTTCCGAGAGGGATATGTGCTGAGGAAACTGCTTGAAGGTTCCCACGGAGGCGCTACAGGTTGGCACAACGCAGGGCATTTTATGTCGAACGTTAACTGTATAATAGGTGACAATACATAAGCTTACAGCGTCACACTTTCCCAAAACAAGCAATCAAAATTTAATCGTGTTTTTTTTTAGATCGGCAGGTTCTTTCTTACGTGTTGCCTGACTGTATTTACATTAAGTCTGTTCCCGTATTTTTTGTTTGCTTTTGCCGGTAGTTGGTGCAGCTTTCTGTAAGTTCCTTTAAGAAAATAATAAGGTGCAGAAAGTATGGGAACTGGTTTTGTAAACAATGAGTTTAGCCGTCGGTTTCTCGCGAATAAAAGCTCACACATGCAAATTTACGACACCATATCCAGAACAACATGTGAAAAGGGCATACAAGCTTTTTGTAAACAAACCTTCTTATGCCCTTTTCTCGCCACCAATATGACACCAACGCAAACCTTCAACATCACCGGGTAGGGGACACTTTCCCCTTCCCGATGATACTGCTGGTTTGCGTGGGCGACCCTCGGTTGGCGAGAAAAGGGCCTACAAAGGTTTGTTTACAAAAAGCTTGTATGCCCTTTTCACATGTGGCTCTTGACTTTCCCCTTCCCGATGATACTGCTGGTTTGCGTGGGCGACCCTCGGTTGGCGAGAAAAGGGCCTACAAAGGTTTGTTTACAAAAAGCTTGTATGCCCTTTTCACATGTGGCTCTTGATATAAGGGAGAGTAATTATTGTGTCCTTTGCAAGCTGGTATCGTTAATTTACAAGAATGTGCTATTATTTTCAGTTCCGCCCTAATGAAATGTTGGCACTGACTTTTGATTCTGTCAGGATCTCTAGATAGAGCTGGAATTAGGGCGTAACAGCTTTTGTAAGCAATGACTTCTATCGATGATTTAGTGCGTTCTTAATAGAAACTACACAGCAAAAAAATGTGATATCGATCAACGTAATTCAAGCTGATGTATGAAACAATGATGTAATAGCAAAAATCAGATACAATATTACTTCAATGGATGTAATTTTGTTCGCAAAATCGGTATACATCGTACAACGTAATATTACCCTAATAAAAATGTTATGGTTAATTTGCTTAACGACGTGTTCGGGGTATCATCCAAACCATTTGTGGAATTGTTCAATCATTTGGGTTACCGTTCGTTTATGGTTATTTTTTATTAGGGTACACCACCAGCGGAATGACGTCTGTGCAGCTGTTTGGATGTAATATTCAACAACTTTTTTTTTCTGTGTACACAGCAAAAAAAATGTAATATCGATCAACGTAATTCAAGCTGATGTATGAAATAATGATGTAATAGAAAAAAGCATATACAATATAACATCAATAGATCAAGAGCAAATTTTCATTACGTCGAATGTAACAAAGGTAAACAAAGTCGAGCTATCAGTGTCAATCGATTCTCCTGCTATTACACTATATATTGTCCGAATATAGGATCAAATCCCATTTTTAAATTTATTTGCCAGTCAAATTGCTTTTTGACGTAATCACCTTCCGATCAAAATAGTTTTCGATGTTACTTAAGTCACCCAATTTCTATGGAGATGCCGTTTGACTTAAGTAACAGCGCTGAGAAACCCGTGAAAAGTGTACGTTCGTCGTTTCGCTTTCTCATTATTAAAGTGAATAAATCGAACTGTTTGTTGCTAAGATGATTTCGGTAGTCCTAAAATGATGAATGGGCTGCACGTAAGGAGACGTAATTGATAATTCTCCCGAATATCCTGGTAAATACACTTTGACTTAAGTAACAATAGGGGCCACCAAACGACGTATAATAACTTTTGACTCAAAAACCAATATTTTTTAGCATGAAAGCTAGCGATTTGCATTTGTATGATTAAAACCCTGCTAAATATGTTAAACATTACTATCACTATGAGATTATATGTGTTTACTTGGAAATAGGAATAACTTTTCGGTCATCAAAACAAAACTTTATTTTTCTCGGATTGGTGCGAATGTTACTTACGACATAATGAAAATTTGCTCTTGAGATGTAATTTTGTTCGCAAAATCGATGTACATCCTACAACGTAATATCACAGAGAACAGACGTTCGTCGACAGTGGGAACGTCGCCGTTACGTGGTGTTAGCATCTCCTGATTTTCTCTATAAATTTTCCACTTTCAACCAATTTGGCGCTAGTATCGATAAATTTTCTGTTGAAAATTGCCATTTGGCGCTACTAGCACTTAGTGTCTAGTGTAATTTGTGCAACGCCAGCGCCATCATGTTGTCAAAAAGGGTTTTTAAGTGGGGAAGTCGCCGTTAATGGCGCTTAAGTCAAATAGGAATCTTTACACAAGTTTTTAGAGAAATTTTGTTCGAGCCTCCATGTCTGTTCTCTGTGGTAATATTACACAATCGGCGGAATGACCTCTGTGCAGCTGTTTGGATGTAATATTCAACATCTTTTTTTTCTGTGTACACTCAAAAGATATTCAAATCTAAATAGATTAAAAGCTACGCTAAATCACAACTCTCCTGACCGACGCATAGCTTTGTATAAAGAAAGAGAATACACACTTAGTATAAAAATGGTTTACACGAGAATGTGTATTTTTGAACTTTATACATGCAATGTTTAAAGGAGATTTATTCATTGTGTTGGTAGAGAGGTGATTTTGTTTTGATTTCATTTATAAATGGATTCCAGATGTTTGAATAAAATTAAAATGACAATCATTCTAAGAGTTTATTTAGATTTGCATAAATGTACAATATTTATTTTGCTGCAGCATGCAAAACTGGAATGAAGGTCACTCGGCTGGTTATAAACATATGTTGGGGCTAATCTAGTTGATCCTCTTTCATCGTGAATAGCAACAGTGACGTAATTGGACTGCCTCCAGATCCTCTCCAGATGGTTGATGGCGGCAAGTTCAATAATCTTGGCAAAGAATTATGTTTTCCAGGGTTTTGTTTTGTTAGTTGTGGTTTTAACTGCTTTCCAGCAGTTAAAGATTTCCGAAATTGGACGGCACCATCTGAAATCAAATAATAACAACATATTTTCCCGAATAGAAATTGTAATGTAGGAAACATCAGCAGACATCTTCAATACATTAAATTTTAACGTGTATTGCTGTAACCTTAATGTATTCAGACTTCAGTGTGACGTCCAAGTACATAAAAATACATTAGCCTCAAACGTTACATCAGAATCAAACGTCTTGACGATGTAAAATTTGACATCAGAATACATCCAATGACAACAGAACCTAACGTTACATTAGAATCAAACATCATCACGATGTAATTTGTTGCACGCATAAAACATCAGAATACATCCAATGACAACAGAACCTAACGTTACATTAGAATCAAACATCATCACGATGTAATTTGTTGCACGCATAAAACATCAGAATACATCCAATGACAACAGAACCAAACGTTACATTAGAATCAAAGTTCATCACGATGTAAATTGTTGTCCCTCGGTCTCTCGCCGCATGCAAAGTTTGTTTTGTCCTGAGTCAGCACTACACGGCGAATGAGAACGACCCTAATTTGAGGTTAGTTCACTCATAAATCGCAAAAAGTGCAGGAACTCAGTTTTGAATTAATTTCCCTCATGTTCCGAATATGAGAAAAGCAAAGATTGGATTCTCTGGATTCTCGTGAATTTTCCTTATTTTAGGGCAGATTTTTGAGGTTTTCCACAGGAAAACATGCGGCAAATTTACTCATCCTGCACTTTTTTCGATATTGAGTACACTGTACTCAAATATGCGTGATCTCATTGGCCGTGTACAGTTTTTTTTCGCAGTATGGGAAAAGTTTGATTTGTTTACGAATTAGCCCGGGAAAGTGCCAATAATGTGTCCGTCGCAAGTTTTGGTGCATTGCAATGTTTTTCTGGTAAGTAAATGTGAATTTATTAATTTAATGTAATGTAATTATTTTTTTTTTAGGAAAGTGTACCGGTACCAGTCCCAGCCGAATCCCGGTAGGGAATCTGAAGCTGGATCCCGGGCGGGGAGTTTGCAGCCAGATCTCTTTGCAGGTTAGTCAGTGTATTTTTTTACTAAAAGCTACAAGCCCGATGACGGGTTCCGTAAACGGAGCCCGATGGGGATTCCGTAGACGGATCCCGATGGGGAAACCGAATACGGATCCCGATGGGGAAACCGAATACGGATCCCGATGGGGAAACCGAATACGGGTCCCAATGGGGAAACCGAATACGGATCCCGATGGGGATTCCGTAGACGGATCCCGACGGGGAAACCGAATACGGATCCCGATGGGGAAACCGAATACGGATCCCGATGGGGAAACCAAATACGAATCCCGATGGGAAAACCGAATACGGGTCCCAATGGGGAAACCGAATACGGATCCCGATGGGGATTCCGTAGACAGATCCCGATGGGGAAACCGAATACGGATCCCGATGGGGAAACCGAATACGGGTCCCAATGGGGAAACCGAATACGGATCCCGATGGGGATTCCGTAGACGGATCCCGACGGGGAAACCGAATACGGATCCCGATGGGGAAACCAAATACGAATCCCGATGGGAAAACCGAATACGGGTCCCAATGGGGAAACCGAATACGGATCCCGATGGGGATTCCGTAGACAGATCCCGATGGGGAAACCGAATACGGATCTCGATGGGAAAACCGAATACGGATCCCGATGGGAAAACCGAATACGGATCCCAATGGGAAAACCAAATACGGGTCCCAATGGGGATTCCGTAGACAGATCCCGATGGGGAAACCGAATACGGATCCCGATGGGAAAACCGAATACGGATCCCGATGGGGAAACCGAATACGGATCCCGATGGGGAAACCGAATACGGATCCCGATGGGGATTCCGTAGACGTATCCCGACGGGGAAACCGAATACGGATCCCGATGGGGAAACCGAATACGGATCCCGATGGGAAAACCGAATACGGATCCCGATGGGAAAACCGAATACGGATCCCGATGGGGAAACCGAATACGGATCCCGATGGGAAAACCGAATACGGATCCCGATGGGGAAACCGAATACGGATCCTGATGGGGAAACCGAATACGGATCCCGATGGGGATTCCGTAGACGTATCCCGACGGGGAAACCGAATACGGATCCCGATGGGGAAACCGAATACGGATCCCGATGGGAAAACCGAATACGGATCCCGATGGGAAAACCAAATACGGGTCCCAATGGGGAAACCGAATACGGATCCCGATGGGGAAACCGAATACGGATCCCGATGGGAAAACCGAATACGGATCCCGACGGGGAAACCGAATACGGATCCCGATGGGGATTACGTAGACGGATCC